CCAAGATTTCATTGCGATTCTCTTTTTTTTCTACCGAGATAAACATCTGCTCTTCAACATTTGTATCTATATGAAAATTAAAATTCCAAATCTTGAAGTACAAACATAAGAGGCAAATTCGAATAGTGCACGTGTATGCGTATATGCGAGAAAAAAAACAAAGTCTTGTTAAGAAAGACTGAATAATTTTTATTGTACTTAGTATGCTATAAAATTTGAGATATAATCTCTAGTATATCTTTGAAGAAAGCCGATATATGAACTGTTATAAAATGTATATATATACAAAAAATATATATGCATTATTAAATAATATTAATGAATAATATTTGTATAAGCTACACCCTTAAGAGCTTTCAGCCCTTTACTCCGCCTTTTCTGCCTTTGGAACCGAATCCACCTGAACTGCATTCCGAACAAGAACAAGAAACAGGGTAAACTATCCGCTCTTTCAACCTCTTGTAATCTTCGCATATCAATTCAATGATAAGACTTGTATACTTCGTAGGCTGACAACACTGACAGTTGGCTATTGGTTTCCAATTATCTGCAAACAAGAAATAAGAAGAACGTTGAACCTTCAATTTTTCCAACAGTTTTGCAAGATTTCTTTGTAATTACCTGTATCGAAATACGAAGCGGATTCACATTTTCCTCTACATTCTTTCATACCAAAGATGGGTACATAGTTTTTGCAGAGTCCATGTACTCGATGCCTGATGCTAAACATACCAGTTGTGGTATTCGAATCTATGACATTGGTAACACATTCGTCGACATTCTGGTTGTAGGAAGTTAGGTTGCACATTTTGCAACAATTCTGAGTGTAAATAGAATCATCAGGACAGTTAGTTATGTCAGGACAAATGACAGAACTGCTGCTGACAGACAGCTGATCTCCTTGACTCATACATGAGTAAGAAGTGCAGTTATCAGTGGACATCCAAGTTGCACCTGCTTCATATAACATGTCCCCGACTACACAATGCGACTGCTTGCATGATCCACAACATTGACCCTCTTGTTCTTCGTATGTCCATCCAAACGGACACTTCTTTGAGCACACTTCCACCTCTTTATACTTTGTTACAGTTGAATTCAGTACACAAGATTCTGTGATACAATTGTTCTCCAGAGATTTCCATTTTTCTCCTGGTTTATGCACTTCATTATTATAACGGCAACCAGTTTTAACAAACTCTGGGCAGCACTGTTTTTCAACGTACAGTTTCTCTACCTCAAATTCTATCTCTTCTAAAGGATCTATGTCTGGACATTTTTCGACAACCGATTCTATGTACACACTTTCATTATTAGACTTGCAAGAGTATTTGGTACAAAAGTCAGAAGAGTACCATTCTACACCAACATTCTTCACCTCATTTTCAATGACACAAGCAACTGCTACGCACCTTCCACAACAGTTAGTGCTCTTATTGCTAGTAGGTTGATACTCGAAGCCTATATCGCAAACAGTATTACATTCTTGCACTCTTAATTGCTTTCGTATTCCATTCTCGTCTTTAACACACTCCAACAAAGTGCAACTATCTTCAGGATTAGGTTGCCAAGTCTCACCGACATTGTACACCTGTTCTCCGTCCTTACAAGCAGATCTCTCGAAGCTGGGACAACATTCGTCTTTTTGGTAAACTTCTTCTACAACGAAATCAAACACGTCAGGATGATCTGCAACCTGCAAACATTTCGTCGTAGAGCACTTTGGCTTCGGAGTGCCTTCGTCAGAGAGTTCACAAGTGCAGGAAGTGCATGCTCCTTCCATCCATTGCTCTCCTATTTTCCTTGCAATCACCTTCTCCGACAGTTCTAGTTTCTTATCTGTTGTAATGTTATATAAGCAAAGATCATTTGGTGGTATGCATTTATAGTCAGAGCAACAAGCGTTCTCCAGTGTAAGAGATCTTAATTCATGGTATTCTGGACACATTGGTGGTAGAGGACAAGAATTTATATCACAGATTTTCATTAATCTCGGACAGCATCCGGATGTATTTGTCTTGTGTACGAAACCAGGAAGAAGCACGTCAACATCAAGGCTACTAATCTCATTTAGAGATGGACACTCGGACGGTGGCAGACATTCACAGATAAATTTCTTGCATCCATCAGAGCCGGTTGTTACCTTTGTAATCTGCCCATAACCGCATTCTGGCATCAGGATTTCTTCTGTGCATAATGGTGCTTCAGTTGTTACAATGCTAGGAATACAAACGTATTTCGTGCAGCAGTCTGTTTCTGTTCCGTTGACAGCAACAGGTGTCATGTTCTCTTCGCAAATGGTGTTCACACTCGGACACTCTGTTTTCTGACAATTGATAACTTTCTTGTCGCATGTGCACTTGGTGCAGACATCTGGGAACCATACGTCACCCGCAACGTGGCCTTCTTCATCGCACACGAGACATTTATTCTTTGGAATACAAGTGTCATTGTGAAGAACAAAATCATGGGGACAGAAACAGCCTTCTGCAAGGTTGGTTGCGCATTTGGTATCATCAACTTCATTGATAGTGTCACAAGTTTCCTTGCAGCTTGATTCGCACGGTCGATACTCTAAGTGAGGTGGACAATTGTAAGGACACACTTCGCTGCTTCTCCAAATCAGACATACTTTCATTTGTTGGCACATTCTTGCGTATGCTTCAAAGCTGTCACAGAAGCCACCTCCAGTACATAAACTGTCTTGGCAAGCCATTAAGTAGGGCAATGGATCAACAAAGTTGTGGCAGCTTCCAAAGTCTACTGGGTTCAACAAATTTCTGCATGGATCTTGGTCGGCTGGTGGCAGTATACATTTACTCTGGTTATTGGACGTGCAAGCATCTGTGTTTAAGTTAATCCCGTGTGGTGATTCAGTGACTAACCAGCTGGTACCAAAGTCTTGCATGTCATTTGCGATCTGAGAAGCAGAACATTGATTTCATGTCGTCAGAATGCAGTATATTATATTTCAAAGAAATAATCATACCCCTCCGTCCTGTTTTCTCAAATCATCTTCAGGATCATCGTTACAATTGCCACAGAGACCCTCCATTGCTCCTCCAAAAATGTGTGAAGGAAGTGTCAGGCTGAACGCAAACTTGTCTACATAAGCCGTGATTTCAAGTTGCACCGAAGGTATCAATAAATGTAATTTCTCGGAAGGTGTTTGTTCTAGAGCCAACCAAGTTATGTTGTAGGGAAATTCGGGTACTTTTGAGCCATCCACCACCACCTCGAACTAGTGATAAGAAAACAATAGTAGTAAACTGGAATGTTAATGCACTGTTCTGATCGTAACATTGATCTTACCTCTTGTAACGGTACACCCTCCTTAATTTCAACAATGTGCTCTTTATAAAGCACTGTGAGTGCTTCTACACAGGTACCAGTGTTACAAACCCCATTAGAAACCAACACTTGGTACGCATGATTTCCAGAGTCTTTCTGATTCTCTGTAACATCTCTCGACAGAACGTATGTGCAATTACCATCAAACTTAACATTCTTCCTATCGAAACTAATGAACTTCGAGTTGCTAAGCCATTCGCAAGTGCAATCCTTGCACTGTGTCGCAGGCACACATTCATCGCCATTGCGTACTGTTCCCTCTGGACAGAAACATCCAGAGAAACACACACCCTCCATCACTGGACAAGGGTCTATTTGTTGTAAATTGTCGCAACTGGTCTCACATTTGTTTCTACAATCAAATTAAAATTCATGCTCCATTCGTTTCTCGACTAACCTGATGCCATTAGAAGCTATACTTGAAATTCAAAAGTATACCTGAAACAATCTTTATGGACAAATGGCGGAGTACAAAAGACAGGACAATCATAAATACTTCTCCAAGTGGACAGATCAAAGTTCAAATCACCAGCCTGACATTCAGTAACAAAGTTAGTTAATGTGCGACAACGACAGTCGTCATACGTATGATTGCTGCGTAGACAATTGCATGTACTCTCCATGCAACGAGACGCGAATTTCTCTAGGTCTAAAATGTTAGAGCATACTGCCAATGACGAATCTTTCACTGTATTGCAAATCTTCAAGCTCTCTGCTTGGACGTCATAAGGGCAGATCTAAAACATTAGAGGAAAACATTAGCTCAAAAATTCTAATTGAATTAATCATTTCCCTGTTAACGTAGAAGTATTCTAATTACTAACTTGTGGATCGCATTCTGGCACTCCCTCCATCGCCCAGCTGTCTCCAAATTCTGTAGTGCTTCTAGCCTGGTTCCCAGTAGGCAGTTGCTTATCGTTCTGCATATATCCATCGAAGTAGCCGCATAAACCGTCTACCTGGTGAGCTAGCTTCGTGGAAACTCCTATTTTCACATTAGAGTTTGTGTCCCAAAGCACCCAGAACCCATAATAGTTTGATAGCAAATACATAACATCGCCGACTACGGATATCTTGAACGATAAAAATTGATCACCAAGTCGTGCTATTTGATTCGGTGTGAAATTATAATCATTGATATCTGCATGCATGTTAGGATACAAGACAATGACATTGTCGTCCACAGTCACCACCAAGTTTCTAATACAAACACCTGTCCGTGCATCGCACTGCTTCTCCACTGTAAAATTGATTAGGCATTATAACATCTCTTTGTTAGTACAGCAAATTTTCTTAACGACAATGCACTCACGTGTAATGTACCACTTATTGGTGTACATATCTCTAGCCAAAATGTGGTTGCACACGTCATACTTATACTCCAAGTTATCAAATGTGTTGAATGTCCTTCCTGTTATGTTGCATATAGCTTCCTGGGGTGCAGGAGGCTTGCAGGTATACTTTCGACACTTTTGAAGTTTGTACATGCTCATCTTTTCATAAACTACTGTGTAACCTGGCGGACAAGATGCCTCTGGACAGGTTTGTGGTTTATTACTATTGAAAATTGGTGGTGGTTTATTGGGTACACAGGTGAACTGGTCACACTTAGTCGCATTTTCCGGTTTCTGCCATTCGACGTTATTCGAATATTGCTGAATGGATTTCCTGATTAAAAGCGTTTTTTATTAATTATCAGCGAAACAAAATGTACAATGAAGTTGCATAATATCGTACCTAAGTCCTTTATGTCTTCGAGGATGTTTGCTTAAGGTTTTCACTCCAGACCTTCCGTAAGATTTCTTGAAATATCTTGACTTCATGGAAGATTGTAAAACTGTCTTGTAACCGGGTGGACAAATTGGGTCTTGACATAATTCTGGTGGAGCTAGAAAAATATGAAACGTCAGTTAAATAATTTATATATTTCGTTTGGTTCAACTGTTGTACCTGGAGTTTCTGTCGTAGTACTGTGTTTCAAACTAGACACAGTTGTTGCACAATTCTTTTCATCATCAGGACAGTCTTGAATGCCATTGCACCATAAATTTTCATCGATACAAACATCGCTGGTTGGACAAAGGAGTGTACCAGTTGGGCAAGGTTTGCACACGCAATTGCACAATTCGTTTATTACTGGTCTCATTTCAGAATCAAGACAAGGTTCACATTTCTTTGGCTGACAGAAAGAATCTCCTCCTAAGGTACACGTGCATTCTTCGCAATTATCATTTATATATGTTGTACCCACGTTGTACCTGAAATTTTTCCTGTTTTACAAGGTTCTACTAGATAGTGCAGATTTCACTGAGAGTCTATACTTACGGTACATGTCCAACCACACAAGGACATTCTTGATTAGTCACACAAGAATTCCCATTCCACCAGTACGATTCATTGCATGTGCAACTAGTTTGATTGTTATACGATATTCCCTCACAGACGTTGCATTTTTCAATTTCTGTTGTCGTTTCAATCTTCTCAGTGGTCACTAATATCTTAGCTGTACAAAATGTTGTAATTAAAGAAGAATCAAACTTTCCATTTATACAAAGAGTTTTACTCACTGTACGGTACAAAGCAACCAATAGGTTCCAATTTCAGGCCTATATGTTCATGCCATTTTACTGGTTGCACTTTCAGATACCTTGCATTTAATGGTTTGTCAAAGTAGTTTTTCTTAAGTGTCTCAGAATCGAAGTTGCCTAAGAACTCTTTCTCCAAGCCATATTTATCGACCACTGGATTCCAGTAACGATCGTCATTGCTGTAAAAAACTTTGTAGACAGTTGTCCAGGTACCTTCACCACCCTTTGTAGTAATTCCTGTTAAATTACGGGGTTCCAGGAAGTCAATTTTCAAGTATTGATGTGGATTGTCTAATTTGGGGTGCCAGGCGTATGGAGATGTCAATTTAATGTTTGGCAACAAATCTGTCGCAGAAGAAGAAGCAGAAAGTTGATCGGGGAAAATCAGATCATTATCCAAACCCATTGGCTCGTCACACACTGGAAATGAAAATGAAATAGTGAAATAATTTCTTCTAATAATTTTATGCCATCTACTTTTATCTTACTTGGCTTCACAGTTTCCTCGGTCAACACTGTTGTTATTATAGGAACACTTTCTGTAGTAGTAATTGTAAGATCTTGGCAACCAAGCAGTTCCACTTTCATCGCTATCCCATTGTGCCAAGACAATGGATTTATCCTGACAACTTTAGCTTCTACAGGTTCATAAAATTTCTGTTCAACTGGTTTAAATTCATCCACAGGTCCTCTAAATAATTGTGGTTGCTTTTGGTCATCTAATATGTAGGAGAATGAGTTGCCATTCTCAGAAAACAGTATTTGATAGCTGGTGACAAATTTTTCTTCCAGCTCACTTCCCTGCATAACGACTCCGTAAATGGGTTCAGGTTTTTGGAACTCGATGTCAAGCCTAAACACGATTGCACAATGAAAAAGGCTTCTTTAAATATTTAAGTAAAACGTTTCTTTTAATGATATCACTTGCCATTGATCAGAGTTAATGTATGCGGGTTCCCAGTATCCAGCAGATCCCTCAAAAACTTTGCCATTTAATGGTGAATATTCAGGCAAGAACATAGGACCTTTGATGCTACTAGCGTTGAAGGTAACCTCATCGTTCAAATACTGAATAAGAGGAATAAAATTGTTGCTGTCACAGTAGGCTGGCGGATGAACAGTGCTAGGTACAACGATCGTTTGTTCTGTTAATCTTGGAGTTGTGATTTCTTCGTAAGACGGTGTAGTTAAAGGTAAAATTGGTCCTTCAGTTGTCGTCTTATTAATAGCATCAATGCATAATGATCTATCACAAGTATAGTAATTGTTGATGCACTGACAAATCTCACACTCTGATTCCTTCAACACAGCTCCAGGGATGATCAGTTCTCCTTCATGGGATTTACAAGTACAATCAGCTTCATTGACACAGGTCATAAAATCCCTCCAGAATTTATGTGGAGGGCATTGTGGTCTTTCCAATGAAACGCATCCTAATTTTCAAAAAAATAGTTAAATATTATTAAGGGTACTACTTATAATTTAAAGTATCACTTTTATACCTGATATACATTCAGAACCACCACTGCAGTAGCCTTCCTTGAATAAGCGATAACGATAATAATCGCAAACTTTGTTGCAATTAATAACACAGTCACTCCAAGTTTCGCCCTCCTGACAAAGTTCTAAAATCAAAATAATACACTTAATTATCAAAGACTCAAATAAAATGATTAAAATGGCTTAAAAACTGCATTATACTTGTTGTTATAATGTTCTTCTCGAAGGTTGTTGATATTGTGGTTGTAGTATTTGTTTTTTTATCTACTGTCCATTCAGTCTTGGGTGTAGGTGTTTGTACTAGTGAACATTCTGGTCTTAGAGCAATTACATTTGCTGGCCAGTCACAAATTTGCGCTTGTGGATTGTACATTAAACTTTCACCACATGATTTTTGCACAAGTTCATTTCCATTGACTCCTGGTGTGCATTGGTAAAATAGGTGACAGTCTGTAGGATGAGGTTGATTAGGATATTGTACACTGCATTCTCCATAAGTAGATTTCTCTGTAGTTGGTATCTCTAAAAGGAAACATCGAGTTAGTATTGAGAACAGCTGGTAATTATAAATTATACATAACACGTACCTGGTGTATTAACAGTCTTACTAGTGTTGTCTGTACACTGACACAGAACACTAATTTCAAAATCAATGCAAGGAAGATTAGGTTGGGATCGACAGTAAAGTCCACGTTCTAGACTACATTCTACATCTAAACCAGTTTCTTTCGGTGTCAAATGTCGCTTCACAGATCTACATTTTATATCAACCATGTGGTTCTTATCGCATATTGCAGATTCTGCTATACTTGCCTATAATATTGAATACATAATATGAAGGTATAAATAACTATCAAACTTAACAATATCAGTAGAAAATTACCAGATCTATTAAACTGGGTAAAGGTTCAATATCTTTAAACTTTCTTCCTTTAATCGCTGTGTCCTGATTTATCCAAGCTGTCCAACCATCCACACATCTTTGTGGTTCTTCCAGTGGAACAGTACTTAATGCAGAGACAGTTGTGCAAGATTCTCCTTTGCACAACACCTTACCACGACTACAGAAACATGTTTGACAATTGTCAGAGCTGACACTATCACCTTCATAATAAGTTACCTATAACATATACTGATTATTAAACGAAAAAATATTATCAGTCGTTCTCAACGTACCCCATTAATTTCAATGCAAGGTGTTTTGCAAGTTTCTTTAGGGACACATTCTGTGTAATTGTTGTTACTGTATACTTCATTTTCTGGACATGATTTCACTGAGCATCCTTCAACACAAGTGTCTTGCGAGCACAAGTGAGACTGATCCTTCAAAATCATCAGATTGTCACAAGTTTCACGAGGACAAGTTGTTATACAAGGAGAGTATGTGCTGCATTTTTCATCGCACTGCATGGGGCAAAGATCTTGGCTGCGCCATTTTATTGGAACGCCTTTCGCACTGCACTCATGTGCATATGCTGCTAATGCTGTGCAAAGGCATTCGCAGTCGCCTCCTAAAAAATCAAATAACATATTTAAAAGACTTAGTGTACCATTCAGAAGAAATCTTTTATCTTTCCAGTGCTCTTACCTGTATCACAGCCACAAGTGTCAAAGATGCAATTGTGTAAGTAACTTTGAACTTCCACTTCAGAATGACATGGTTTAAAGATAGAAGATTTTAGTAAGCCACAGTACTGTGCTGCCCATAATTTTCTCTCTGGATGTTGTTCACAGGGATCACTAACGTCTTTAGGTTCCGGACAAAAATCATTTTTCTTCCAGGAATCTCCAAATAAGTTTGCTGATGCTTCTGATATACCACCAGAAGGTGTCTTAAAATCATCTTCACCATTGTCATTATAATCGCCGCAAAGTCCCTTCGGATAGCCTTTCCATCTAGGATCTAATCTTACATAGACTCTAGTACCTGCAAAAAATATAACAAACATACTAAAAAGTTTCCATGGTTCTTACAAATAATCAATTATGCTAGAACATCAAAAAACCTTTGTCCCACTGAACACTCAATCCCAAATCTGGGGCATCGATAAATACAAATAAGCCAGCTGTCCTCATTACGAGTCTCTTAAAGTTTCCTGAAGGTAACTCTTTGCCTCTTGTTAAAACAATGGTTTCTGAATTGTCGTTATGTCCAATCGTAAAAGTAATTGACTTGGAGCAGGATACACCGGTAGTTCCGCAAGGTACATTTTGTATTGATACAACAAAGCAGTCTTCAGGGTTCAGTGCACCTTTGGCCAAAACATAGTCGCACATTCCTTGAAAATCGTAGATTTTTCCATCGAATGTTTTATAGTGTGAATCACCCCAAGCTGAACAAACTCCTGCGCATATTCTGTCTGTGCAATCCCATCTTCCATTCTTACATTTGCAAGTGTTGCATTCATTTTGTATGACAGAGTCTTCGTGGAAACTTTGACCTCCGTGATGACAGGGGCAAGATTCTTCCTTTATACAATTGCCACCTAATGTATCCAATACATAGCCAGCTTTGCATACGCAGCCAGATTTACAATCTGACGACCTAATTGAGACCTCTTTGTGCATGTTCTGACAAGTTCGAGGTTCTATTGGTGCACAGTCTGTAACTTCTAAGTGTTGACTTGCCACGCAGTATGTTAATAGATCTTTAGTTGCTGGATATTCTTTAATTTGATCAGGTGTTGCTAATTGACAGTTCCAAACACCACCTACCAAGAAAATAGTTCAAAAGGTTGAATACATTCTTTCTTTTTAATGCAAAATGAATTTTATGGTTATTATAATACCTGTGCAGGTGCAAAGTTCAAGAGCTTTGTTTCCAGGTCTGATTTCTTTATGCCCTGATTGAAACTCCAATCCTGCGTATATGCAAGGACACTGCCCGATTGGAATACACTCTCCATGAACGTCCAATGTTTCACCTTCTGGACAGTTGCATCCTTCTACGCATTCTTGCCTGCAATCTTGGTAAGAAGATATATCTCCACAAGACCTTGTGCAACTGTTCCCACAAATCTGATACACTTGGTTCGCAGGACAATGTACTTTACATTCTTCGACATCCAGTCGCCATAGGAGCTTCACTCCAGCGGAAGCACAATCCTTTGCATACGCTGCCAATATGGGACAGAGGCATAAGTGAAGGTCTACTTTACAAGAGCACATATCGAACATGCAGTCTTTATAGAACGTTTCTGGATCCACATGCCAGTGACAACCTGGAAAGAACAACAAGTTAATTTGAATATAAGCCAAGCAGTGTATATTTAATTTTGTTAGACATCTACCTGCAAATATTTCACTGTACAAATAGGAACAGTATTGCTTTGCGGTTGCTCGTTTCTGTGGGTCTAAATCACAAGGATGATCCAGTTCCTTTTCTGGGACATTCTCACAAAATTCATCTACCTTCCACTTATTAGCGAAACAAGCTGCTGTCTGTTCTATATCACTTTCTGGCGTAAGAAAGTCGTCTTTTTGATTTTCTGAGAATGTACCGCAAAGTCCTTTGGTTTTATCTAATAATGGAGATAAAGTTAGAGGTTTACATGAATACATGAAATATATTTAAAAAAATATTTTACCATGGAATTCAGGTGGAGCATTGATATATACACGAGAAATTCCATCCCACCATATTTCCAAACCATTTGGTAAATGAGTAACTAAGAATATGCTGCTGGCAATGCGTATCCTGATACCGTTGACAACAGTCGGATAGACAGTTACATCATCCCCATTCATTAATACTTGACCATTTTGCTTCAGTTTTATACCAGTTCCTTTGTAATCGATAGTCACAGTTTTCGTACAGGATGGTGCGTCAGTTGGAACAAGCCCCATACTCTGTAAACAAATGGATATTCTTTCCTTTGGTCTAAACTCTATTGTATCTTAATAGTGTCAATGACAAACCTCTGTTATTGCTCCAGAACAGGGAACATTTTCTCCTTCTATAGCGTAGTCATCACCTTTCATTAAATAGTATTTACATTTTCCCATGAAATCATAATGTTTCCCATCAAAAGTTGTGTAGTGAGGATCCCCAATGACAGCACATCTAGCACTGCATCTAACTTGTGTACATATCCATTTCCCGGAGGAGCATGTACACGTGTTACAGTCTTTTTGTACACTCTTGCCTGGTGGAAATAGCTTTCCACGTAATCTACAAGGGCATTCTTCAAGGTTCACGCACTTTCCTTCATGAGCCACAGTCCCTTCTGGGCAAAAGCAACCCTCTTCACAGTTATCGACGTTTAACTTTCTTTCTAATCCACTCCAACAAGACAATTCTGTTGTTGGCCCGCAAGGCATGTATACTCGTCCATTGTTGCAAACCATAGCTGTAATGTAATTCAATGAAAAATTAATTATCTCTTTCCTATTAACAAGTTTTAATTTCACTTCCGAACACTTACGACAAGTATCGTTATTCCTCCAACCAGATAAAGATACTACTTTTTTGTGAGCACATTGTCTGACATAAACATTCATTGTGTTACATGCACATGTCCTCTTATCATTATCTGTACAAGCACAATAATCCCATAAACATGCATTCTTCAGTTCGGCTATATTAATGGTACGTGTACAACCCCTAAATCTATGGTCAGACAGCAAGTTGGCACAAAAATTGATAGCATCGCCAGCATTGAATGGATTAGATTCACAAGAATGAAGAGTGTTCGGATATTCGTCACACATGTCTGTAAGAATAGAATATATGTTATGTGTCAATAATTGAAAACACGTTCTTAGATTATATCTTCAGTGATAAAATAATACCTCCAATGTTTTCTGTTCTCCAGGACGAAGCAAATGCTGTAATGCTTCTTGCGAGATCCCCATTTCTGTTTACCAAATCATCAGTTTTATCATCATTCATATTACCACAGAGACCAACTGTTTTATTCCACATATTTTCTAAAGCCTCTACTTGTAGCATTAGAGCTCCATCCCACTTTAATTGAATTCCTAAAGAATCCAAGGTTACTACAATGAAGTGTGCTGATAATTCAACTCTTATAGCTGGTAACTGTATTGGAATAGGCAACAGTTTCTTTGAAGTTTTAAATTCCGGGATGCCGAATTCATTCCTTGTCAAGATGTATTCCTTTTCCTGAACGTAGATTTTTATAATTCTGAAACAATCTTGGGTTTTGCACGTTGGACTGTTCTCCACTATAATAGTGAAGAGTCTGTTTTGCGCCTCCTGAACCAGAACATAAGAACACTCGCTGGTAAAGGTGAAAATATTGTCATCGAAGGTTTTGTAATGGACTCCACCCCAGGTAAAGCAAACTTTTGGAACTGGTTGCTTTTCTTCAATAAATAATATATTGTCTTTCATAGAATCAAATGTTATCTATAATAAAACAAATTCTATTAATCGATAGAAACACATGGTTTCGTCTTATAAAACAATTACCGTTCCTGAAGTCATATTATTATAAATATTGTATTCAGTCTTAGCCAGTGGAGACTGTTTGATATTAGAACCAGAAATATCTTGGTACGTCCATGTATGATTAGTTTCTTTGACATAGGAATTGTACGTTGTGCCTAATGAAATTATGTTCATATTTTCACTGTATTTGCACTGAGGTATTGGCTGTGGCTCGAAGACACCAGTTTCATAAGAACACTTGTATTCTGCTGCAGGAGGAAACTCAAATTCTATTCCATCTGGACAATTCAGGATACATGAGTAATCGTCACCGTTACTACTGCAGTGAAAGCCACCATTAAACCCTATTTTTTCTCCATTGCAAGCGTCCGCAGCTACATAAATACATTGCATTTAACAACAAATAGTTAATACTAACACATACATATGTCTTCATAATAATCACTGTACTTACAATACTGGCACTGCGGTCCTCGATATGCTTGTGGACATTGGCAGAGGTTTAATGGTAAACAATTACCCCCGTTTTGGCAAGGTGGATCGCATACAGCTAAAACAAAGAAAATCTATATATTAAGTAATTAAGAATTGAGTGCGTAAATTTAAATTATAGATTCGATACACACGTTTACAATCAGGTACAGAAACCCAATCCTGTCTAGTAGGTATCCAATTTCCATTCTTACAAACGAGATTAGTAATGGATGAGCCATCAGGAAATGTGAAATTTTTCAAACAAGATATGCTGCAAGTTCTACAAAAAAATACAGTATGAGATGAAGTTTGAGTCAATTGGTTTTGATAAAATAGAAATTTGTATTCATAAAGTAACATACTTTGAATTACATAACTTGTGAGAATTAAGCACTGTAGGTGGATATTCCATACATGGTTTATTTTCGAACTGGCACTGCGGTCCAGTAAAATCTTCAGGGCAGTTGCACTGATGAGGTGCAATGCACACTCCATTGTTTAAACACTCCGGCATACAAATTGCTAAAAATACATTGTTACATTTATTGTTAAATGTCATATGAAGAATTAAAAAAATGTTTAGTATCTTAAAGAAAACTCACGTTCGCAGTGAGGCACAGAATTCCATTCTGTGCCAACAATATGCCATTGCTTGTCACTACAAGTTACAGCCAGTTGGACAACACCATTTGGAAATTTATAATTCTGATTGCAACTTGCAATACAGCCACTATAAATAAATGTGAGCATAATATGGTAGTTCAGTATTTAGTATTTGCTTGACAATTTGTAATATTTTACCTGTCCATTGAACACTTAATTTTACCATTTATAGGTGGATCTGGCTGTTTGATGCAACCTCCTACAAATGTCTTCTGAAAGCGTTTTCTTCCACTTTTATATATTTTCAGACTGTGATCTGAATTTGGCATATCATCCAGTGGAACACTTGTAAAATCAAAGTCCTCATGTACTTAGAAATTTTGAACAGTGTGTTTAAAGAAAATAATATAAAAATTACTTACTCTGTAAACTCGAAAGACTCTTCTGCATAATTTTCAGCTATTATTGGATTTGCAACACCAATAACTATTGCAATTTTAAATAATATTTTCCACAGCACCATATTGAATCAGCAGCAAAACTTTTTAACAACATGAACCATATTAGAAGGCTCACTCTGTCATAGTAAGCAAATTAATATATTTCTTCTTTTATATAGCCACTAAAAGGAAGTACGCAACTGATAAATAAAGTCCTGTATTGATAAGTAAATTCGAAGAAAAAAATATGTTTCAGATGAGAATTGGGTGTAAACAAATGGTGTTGAACGATAAACGAAAATTGTTACTTCTGGAAAATTAAATATTTATTGTCATAGATTAGAGTATATTACATACAAATTCTCGTATGTAGAATTCATTATAAAAATAGTTGTATATAAAAGCATATGTGCAATATATCAGGTACTATAAATGTTAATTCACAGGTAGGACTTTAAACTCGTGATATGTGTGTCTCTATCATCAAAGAATAGATCATTTAAGTTGTATGCGCTAAAAAGATAGTGTTCTACATTTGTGAAACACATTTACGCCTGGAAATGTGATTTGATTATCACGGCCATTAAGAATTAATAGGTCTCTAATTAGTCAGATAAGGCAGCAATGGCATAACAAGGGAAATAGTTATCAAACTACCATTCCACTGTTACCGCACTCATATCAATGTAGATTATTAAGCGTACAAACACAATACGTGTATATCGAAAAAATACATGGAAAAATAATATATGAACAATAACTATAACAGCCGTTAAACTTCGTTATAGAAATAACATTATAACAATTATTAAAAAAAATAATATATTAAAAATGCAGCTAAAAGGCAGTCTAAATGTTATGAAGGAATGAAATAGATGTCATATATCTAAAACTTTTTGCCGATGATTCTTCATCATTAGCTGCTCAGGTTCGGAATATTTTGAATGCCAAATCTCGTAATAAGCATCGGTAGAAATATTATGCAAATCTGTAATATTAAATTCTTCTTTCAATGCAATCTTCCATACCTAAAATCAATAATATTCAATTAGTTTTGAATTTTTCTTTATTAAAATATATTAGAAATAAGGTACAATAGTATAGTAAACATACATCTTCATCAGGTATAATTGTTGGTGGTTTTCTAGTTCCAAAAATACCTTCCTCCTTCAGGACATGCAAGTTATATAATAGATAATGCAGTGTATGCATTTTATCGGATTCTCCAACATTAAAAGTAACAGACCTAAAGGAGCAACACTCATTTTGTATTGGATACACAGCACGAGTCCAATAACTTCCAGTTTTAACAACACCCCATAACAATGACTGTAAAGAATACCCATGGAATGTACCCCGTAAATATTGATCTCTTGTATCAGAAGGATAAATTCCCATAGATGCTAAGTGTTTAGCTGAAAATTTTTAATAATTATATTTCAAACATGTTGTATTATTTTTCCATGTGAAGTTAAGAGTATCTAAGTATTTACCAAGATAATAATCCTCTTGTTTCCAATATTTACCACCAGCTATACACTTTTCAGAATTATCAAACATGTTAATTAGTTTTCTGAGAACTCCCAAACTTATCACATATCCTGCATTCGCAACGTTATATGGTTGCCCCCACAATACAACTGCATGACCTAAATAATGATCTTCCGTGTGATTCAGTGGAGCAAGCATGTATCGTAGATTCTCAGGAATAACTAATGTATCATCTTTCACCAAGATAAGCCACTCCAAACTTTTGTTGTCTTTCCAAACATAATTTAGTGCTTCGCACAGAAGTTGAAACGAGGATACAAATTTCATTTCAAAAGTTATTATAGGCACCACAGAATCTTTCTCTTGACCAAAAAAATAAATATTGTTACAATGTTTTCCCCATGTGTTCCAAATAGAGTTTGCTAGCTTCATTTTTTTCACAAAAACAACACAAGTAATTTGAACATTGGAGCTCAGCCAATCGGATTCCAATTTTTCCTGTTTTTTGTGTCCATAAAGGTAGGAATCCATATCAATGTTATTAATTCTTACATTCTTATTTTTCAACCACATATTGTAGGTATGTTTTCCTCCAAATGTTTCATTTTTCCAGGCTTGAATAATGATCTCTTCACTGTTCCATGTATCAGTGAGCCACTTAAGGAGAGTACTTTTCCTTCCAATACTAGAGCTTTGCAAAGTGCTTTCACAAGTGGATATAATACTAAATAGATCATGAGAAATAAACACAAATAACGTACAAATGAAACCAATTCCAAATCCCATAAAAAACGTGGACCTTAATTTGAAACAATTACGATACATTTTATAGTTAAGGTAATAATCTGTAATTATACATTCCTATCAGTCTTATCTTGGAAAACTGTCAACATGGAATTTATGAACATTGAATCATGCTTGGTGAATTTTCTTTTCTTGATCATAAGATGAAATTATCTTATACATAATTTGTTAGCTGTAGGATAATAAGCCTAAAACAACGAATAAACAAATGTTAAATGATTCTAGAATATGTAAATAGGAGGAAATTAGGTTAACAGGTAAATTTAAACATGTTTTAAACATTAACAGTAAAAGTCTACTCAATATCATCATAACAAATTGTTACAAGAATTAGACAATTAAGATAGTATCTATCACATGGTATTCCATATATAAAATAGAATAGATTATTAATTTATTCGTATTTAATGAAGGGACAGATTTTATTAAATAGCTTAAGTTATCTAAGTTTAGAATAGCAAAAATTTTATTCACCATTTTACAATTTGATGATTAATTTCATCAGTTTTGAACGTAATACACATCAAAAAACATTCAACGATATAAAAAGAAATGTAACATAATAACGATTCTTGGTTTTGAATTATTTTAAACAATAATTAATTTCTTGAACTTCCAGTGTATCTCCACGGCAAAATAACCAACACGTGGTTTATTTAGATCAAGGTTACTAAATCGGTGCCCGTGTCCATTCTAGTGACATTCCCCTCACAAGGTACTCATACAATACCTACTTTTACCTGTTGATTAAACACTAAATAAAACTGCTCATATACACAATCTCGATACAGTAAGGTATAGGATATATATAACAAGCAATGTGAAATTTTGTCACACGCTCATGAGAGCTCGAGGAGTTCGTTATCTTTTTCGTGTCACAGCCTGTCATATCGACTTAGGCTGGTTTTACATGGTAACGCAACAAAGTGTTAGGAATTAGAATTAATAAGTAAATTTTCGTGTTTCTATATTCAATATATTTATTTACAATGTTCACTAAATTATAATGTTGAAATATTTTTATCGACCAACTTCTATGACGACTTGTTTCTCACTGACCATTTACAAAAAGAATATCACGGATATTAACGAAAGAATTTTAAAATTTATAGTTAATTTCAAAAAACAAACAGAAATTGACTTTATCTATAATCTACATTACCGACACATTGGCTACAGGATAAGGTACCGAAATTTTAAAAACTGATTTTTTTATTCAACTATTTCATGTTATTAACACAATATTTATGAAATATCTGACAATGAACAATTAATTTTAACGTTTATATTTATTGCATAAAGAAAATATTTAACTATGTACCGAATTCTAAAAAGGAAAAACAAAATCCTAAACTGAACATTTTTGCTGTTCCTGTTGCTGTTGCCTCGTTTCCACTACCCAGTGATATCCATCATAATTCAGGGTGCCTCTCGCGAGAGTTCGAGGAGCTTCTCATACCGATTCCAGAGGTCTCACGCGACGGTTCGAGGGGTTTCGCACATCGATCCATGGGATCTCTCGTGGGGGTCTCTCGTAGGGGTTCGAGGGGTTTCTCACAACGATTCCGGGGGTCTCTTGTGGGGGTCTGTTGAGCATCCTAGAGAGGTTTCTCTGGACGATTCAGGTGGATATTTCGCGACGGTTTAAGGGGCTTCTCACACCGATTCCGGAGGTCCTTCCCGGGTGTTGCAAGGGTTTCTTGAAAGAGTTATTTTTTGGAGTGGTTTGTGTCAAAAAAGTCAATTTTTGAGCTTTTTTAGTTTGAGCTCGAGGTTTTGGAGCTTTTCAGCCATTTTTGGGAGTAAGTGTACTATTTGGCTAATGACTTAGACGTTTTATTGTAGATGGCGTTGACAAGTGACGAGAAAAACTGTATAGCAGGCCATCTAGCGAGAGTATAGTTGTACTATTTGGCGAGCAGCTTGGCCGTTAGATTTGGCTATACTATTTCTAGAGTAGCTTGAGGGTTTTAGCATAGATGGCGCTGATTGCGCGGCTATTCCAGGGAATTTAAAATTGTAATTATTGCCCTCATACAATCTTTGGTTGTGTTTAACATTATTTACGTATTTTTGCAGTGTCCCAACGTTAAACTGGTGTGTTTTAGCTGCAGTTTGGCGTGCTGGAGTGTGCAGGAATCTTCTAGAACTTCAACAAGGATTCAATGGGAGTTTATAATTAATAATTAAATTACTCACAACGCTATTGTACTACACATGTCAATGTTAAGAAATGGGTGAAAATAAATAAATCGATTAAGATTGTAAAGCTTGTGTTTTTTATTTCATCGTACCCCACACAGGAATATAATGGTAAAGGAGGTATCCGAAAAATAATAAAATTCTCAGAGTCGTGAAACTTTTTTAGTATCATGCTCTTCCAATATGTCACTCGAATTTCCGAGATCCTTTTCAATTTCCCGCCCCTGGAATGTTTAGATTTTTCGGATACCTCTTTTAGTATCATGTTCTCCTAATACAAAACTCAGATTTCGAGATCCGCTGGAAATTTCCCGTCTTTTGGTTTGTTTACATTTTTCGGATACCTCCTTCGATATCATGTTCTCCTAGTAAGAAACTCAGATTTCGAGATCCGCTGGAAATTTCCCGCCTTTTGGTTTGTTTACATTTTTCGGATACCTCCTTTGATATCATGTTCTCCTAGTAAGAAACTCAGATTTCGAGATCCGC